AGGGGGTGGATTTGCACAGGGGTATAAATCTGGCTGTCATGCTCCCCAGTTTGCAAAGTCATAGAAAGCATTTTTCCCAGGCAAGAAGGAGCAATAGAGAAGGCTCTTATTTCCCTGAAACCCCTCCCTTCCCAAGTTTCTTCATAGAGACAGGCAGCCGTTCTCATTAGTCACTGTTACACGGTTGTTTTGTGCCCTGCAGCCTGTCAATGTGGGAAAACTGCCGAGAATCAGAGCAGCCTGGGAGCCTGCTGCAGCATCAGCACCCTGCAGGACGATTCCAGAACTGCTTCCCAAACTGTCATTTCCCAACAGTATTTTCAGGCTCCTTTCCTGTGAAGCAAGAGAAAAAAACAAACGCAACTGCTTTTTGGGATGCCTCTACACAGCCTGTGGGCAGACAACAGATTTCTGTGCAGGCAGGGGGGTTCTTGCTTGTGCCCGTGCCAGGAGAATGCTGCCCAGGATGCCTTGCAGGGATGAAGCACATCCCTGACTTGTTGTCTGCCCATGTCTGTGAGCTCCACTGTGACTCTGCCTCCTGATCTTCCCCATTGTTCCACCATCCCATGGGTGTTCCTGCAAGATGAGCTCCACAATAGCGTGTTTTGAAGGGCAGACCTGGAAGCCTCCTCATCAGATCCAGCTCATCCTCCGGCCCTGTCCTGACTCATGCTCTATCAGCAGCTCATCCCTGGCTTGGGAGGGGGAAAGGAGCCCCACTGAGCAACTCTGTTCAATGCACCACCTTAGAGGATACATGTGGATTTTGTGCCTTAAATCCATCTAATAAACCAAATTCTCTGCAATATTTTTTTGTGCAGGAAACAGTACTGCAACCATGATCCTGGTCCTACAGATTTGAACAAACCAAGAAAAACAGTCCAAATCGTCCAGGTCAGGTGTTGGGCAATCATTTCATGCTGTTTGCAAATGTAGATGTCAGCAAGAGGGTCCTTAAATCCTCCATGGAGCAGAGTGGAAATAGGCCCAGCCTCTCCTGCCCCTGCTGTTTTACTCAGAGTAAATCACTCACCTTTGTGCTACACAACGAACTTAGCTGTTGGGCACCCAAAAGTGGCACAGTTCTTAATGCTGTTTTTCTAGCAAAGTCCTTTTATCATTTGCAAGGAAAATAATGCTTGACTGCTCTTTGCACACTTACAGTCAGCAGTCACTAGTGCACCCTTGGAACAGAGGAAAAAAAGAGTGCTTTCATGCTAATCTTAAAATGTGGCACAAATCCAACACCAACAAACAGTGTGGGGTGGAACTGTAATAGTATCGCATGCCTTAAATGTCTTGGTTATGTGACAGCTTTGACTAAAGCCAGGCAGTTTTCCTTAGAATCTACTTAGTCTACCTTAGAAAAGAAAAACCAAACAACTTTATGCATCAACAAGTCCAGCTGGAGGACTTTCCTTATTGCCCATCACTTTTAATTAGCTGATGGGCTTTCCACTGGAGTGGGTTGAGCATGGCACCCAGACTGTACACATTGTTCCTTGGCTGGGGAGCTGCACATGGCACCTTCTCTTATGTATCATTTATTCAGCACATGCTTGAGAGTTGATGATGTTTGGGCTGTTCACATGGAGCCCATGAAGCATGGGTGCTTCTGCACTGCGCTCCAGGCTCAGGGTAACAGCGTCCAACAGACAGCTAGTACAGGATTATTTTAGGCTGTTCTCAGTCACCAGAGATGCCCTTTGGGTGTTCAGTACATTCAGTTTCCTTCCATCCACGCAATTTGTTTTTCTATCTAAAGTGACACTGCACTCTGGGAAAACACAGTATCTTGAAGTTAATTTATTTTTTTATAATTCTGAGCACAGAAACTATTTTTGTATGGGAAAGAGCTGTTATTTTATCCCTATCTCAGGTAGAAAGGTTGTAAAAGCAGGAGCTGTAATACTATTGCATTCCAGAATGAAATGCTGCTTGATAATAGTTTTATAAGCCTGTGCTGATTCCAGCATTAGCCTTTTGGAGAAAGATAGATGGAGAAAAGACAAACGTCTGTGGTCAGACACAAATCCTGAGGTGGAGTAATGGAAGGAGATGGGGGTACAGAGGTGAGGATGAAGGTCAGGGAAGCAGCCACTTTTCTGAGGGCTTTGCTGCACCCAACTTAACCCCCACCTAGAAATCAGGCTGGAGGACAGCATGAATCAGCAGTGAAATCCTGGCACTGGGTTCAGACAGGTACATGGTGTCTCACAGGGACCTGTGGCCACTCCTGCTGGACCCTGTTCTGGGGAGCACTGCATCTGAATTGGCTCACATTGACTCAGCCAGCTCCATTACGACTCCAGGCACCTAAAAACATCCTCTCTGCTGTCTCGGGGAGCCCAGCGGCTGCCTGCCCACCTCACGGGCACTTTTGCACCTCCACAGTAAATAAATTGTGACCTGTAGGGTACGACCACAGTGCAACTGCTTGTGCAGCAATATTGTCAGAGCAGTAACAAAGATCCCTCTGATGCTGCCTGCGATACTGAAACCCCTTCCGGATACCAAGGCACCAAAACCAGCAGTTTGCACCAGGTTTCTGCTGAAATCCTCCAAGTGTAGACACGTACTAGCTCAGAGGAGTACGAAACTCTCAGTGGGTCAGCAGCTATGTAGAATAGGGCCCTGAGCCCAAATCATGAATGTTTTAAATCAGACACTGCAGGAAAACAGAACACAGAACAAAGTGGTGCAACAACACTTTTACCCCGAATCAGTATTGACATGCTTGGGCTTGGTAAAGCCTGCCAGAAAAGGGGATTAAAAACCACAAGACAGTCAAAAATTCCGGTGATGGGTGAGTGTTTACCAAAGGCAACGTGCTACATGGGTATATGAGGTATCCCTTGTTCACCCAGGATGGGACAAATTAATTGGCACCTGAACAAAAATGAAAGGAAATGAAAGTTTGTGTTCCCTTCTTTGAAAGGGATGAGCATTCCTGTTTTGTTTTGGTTGGGTTTTTTTTAATACATATAACACTTTTTTTTTCTTTCATAGCAAAAGAATCTCTCTTGTTTGTCACCACAGTCTGGGACTATTTTTAACACTACTAATGAGTGACTAAAGTGAGGTGGAGTAGCTAAGCCAGCCTGCTGCTCCCAACCACCCACAAGGTTTATCTGACCATCAGAGGAGGACCCAGACCAGAGCCAGCTCATGGTAAGGAATCAGAGCAAAATGCCAACAAAATGTCTGCACTCTGGGACACACATGGTGGAAAAAATGCACACCAGTCCCTGCAGCTAAGTAAAAAAAGGCCCAGACTCCACATAGCGCAGGAATGTCCAGTGCTTGACATAAATCTCTGAGCCTAATGCATCTCAGAGATACATTAATCTCTGACCAGAGCTCATAAATCATGTAGTTGGCATCTCATCTGCCCATCAGAAAATGACAGGAGAGAAGCCATCTGTGCAAACAAGTATTCCTGAACTAGAGGACACCCAATTAAAGGCAAGTAGTGGTTTCTCTCAGGGTCAGTAAATTAATAAAAAAATCAAAATCATTACAATTGGAAAGACCTCCCAGATAACAAATCCAGCATCACTGTGTTCATGATTAAATCACATCCCCAAGAGCTACATGCACATACTTTTTGAACACTTTGAGGGATGTAACACCTGGCATCCGTCTATCCTTCAGAATGGTCTCTGCAGAGGTCCATTAGCAGTCAGGGAATCAGAGGCTGTTAAAAGGGAAACATCCAGCATCCCTTCTCCCAGACCCTCCAGGATTGCTGCATTCAGAGGAGGGACAGAAAATAGGAATCTGGAAGTACCAGATGGCAGCTGCTGGATGCAGCGTCGCAGCTGCCAAGTCCTTTCCAGCAAGGAGAGTATGCACTGAATGGGAATGAAAATAGTCACTGGAGCATGATAGCAGCAGGACAGCACAGGAACACAGCAACAGCCTGGGCTGGAGAACAAGAAACACTCCACTCCAGACAAATATTCTAGAGGAGCATATATGTATATTTATATTGTTTTAACCTACACATGTATAAAGAAAAGCCTATCTGATGTAGAGAACTTCTGTGAAATGTTTAGAACTCTATTATACTAAATTATTAAAGGCAAATTGCAATAAGGGACATGCCTTTAAAAACAAGGGTTTTTCCCCCCTACACTGTCCAACCCCACTTAGCTGATTCACCAGAACCAAGGGCTTAATAAGTTATCTTGACTAGTCCCAGCTGTAAAACAAATTGTTCAAGGAAGCACTGCATTTAAGAGCATTTAAACACTCTTCTCAGACCTTGCAGAGAAATTATATAAGCATTTTCCTGAGGAAGGGATGGAAGAGGGAGGAAAAAATATATTTCAATATTTTGAAGAAATAGAATTATAATTGACTAGAATTATAGCACATGCCAGTAAGGCAGATGTACAGAGTACAGGTTGGAAATCTTTGCTTTGGCCCATAGAGGATGTAGCCATGTAGCCTTAAAAATCAGGGAATTAAGTGACTTGGTATAACAAGAGAAAACTACTTAGAGAAGTATTCTTAAACTCAGAAGAGAAGAAAGGGATTTTTGTAGAGATCTTGAAGACTGGGGTCATTTTAAGTGCTTATCTATAAGGAGACAGGACATTAGTGTATCTTTTATTCATTTAGTTAAAACAGTTCCCCTTGTGATCTCAGATTGATGTAGAACATGTAACTGCTAGAGCAAACTTGTAAAATTTAAAAAAGAACTTCCAAAATCTCAGTTTCTATATTAGTACCATAAACACTCAATTTTGCTAAGCTCATATTATTTATTAAATTACACAAGGCGTTATAACTGGAGCAGTGGCAGCAGAGCTATCTGGTGCAACTGTCACAAACATTTATACTAGCTCAGGATTTGTTCTATAAAATCACAAGTTCTGATATCTCAGAGGTCAAATTGCCTTCAGGAACAGCATAGAGCTGTCACAAAAAGATAATCATACTCCATTACATTATATTATATTAATGTATAACCAGTGGAGAAGGAAGAAGTAAACCCAGAGCTTATTTAGAAAAAGAATCTTTTACACCTGCAGAGAGGCTGGGAAAATAGAACACTCCTACCTGCAGCTTTTTGCTGAATGTTATTTTAATTGCACCCAATGAGAATCTAGGTTTCCTCTCAGAGCTAATGTGAATTCATAGCTTTCTAGAGGATGATTATATATTGGTGAGAAGGCAGAACAGAGCCTTCAGGCATAGGTATATAACAAACTTCTGAAGAGTATTCCTAGGAATTGCAAGTATGGTCACAAATTGCTGCACTTTTGAAACATAAATACAATAATGTGCTTTGCTGACCTGTGGTTGAAGTCTCTTGCCAGCGGCCTAAGACTATTTTAAGCAACATGGAGGTATCAAATCAAGCTACGAAGCTGCAGCACCGAATTTATGCTAACTGCGTCCCTGTACTTACAGGTTATCAGCTGTATTGATAAGAAATGTGCTTCTTATCAGGAGGTGGTAAATTAATAAACACAAAAATTAAAAAAGTGCAGGAGTCCTTTCCAGAGGGCTACATGTAAAGCCTTAAATAAACAATATATCGCCACAACAAACATACTGCCAAATTAACAGCAAAAACATTAGAAATTATTTACTGTATAGAAAAGGGTTATTTTGTCATTCCCCAAACAGTAAATAGTACACGTATTCCTCCAGCTGAGCGAAAAAACATGGGATTAGCTGCAGTTGGTTTCTTCTTGATTCACAGTTGCAAATAATAAAATGTTCACTGAAATAACTTGCTCTTTCAGAACAAAGTGGAAACATTCAGGTGCTAGAAGTACAAATTTCGTCTTCTGTCATGAAGCTGAATACCTGAAAGACACAGCAGCATCAGGACAGTCAAACAGCACAGTCCTTGCAATCTCTTGAGATGACGTGCAAACAGATTTGCACCTTTGAGTCTGGTGCAGAAGAACACTTACTAGAATAACCAGAATGACCCATTCAAAGTATTCCCAAAACATTGTACATCAAAGAACGAACATGGGATATGACCACTGTCAAGAGACAAATAATATGGAAGCCTGGATGCTTTGGGAATAATTTCTTAGAACAACTCACCCAGCAGTACGGTGGGTTTGTTGGTGCAAACTGCAGCAGTGCTACCACATGTGCGCTTGAGGTACAAAGCAAGGGCTGTTCTATCTTTTTGGGATCTGAAACTTGGACAGCAAGTGCAAAACAGGCATTGTGAAATGGCAGCCTGATGGTATAAGCACAAAAACTAAGGTAGATGGGGTAAAAAAACCCAAAACAAACCATGTGTCTCATTTTGATATAATGTAGAGTTTTGCTTCTTCTTTGTTAATGTAGTTATGGGAGGTGGTGATTCTATCTGGGGGAAAAATGAGCTTTTGAAATACAAAAGCAAACAAGGAAGCATCTTTAATACTACATGCATAAGCAAGTCTGCTGTCTGATTTGTTCTAAACCTGCTGGTTTCTTTACTCACCTGGAGTGGCATGGCTTACACTGGGATTTTCTGAGCCTTGGTAAGAGTTTGCTTTCCTCTCTTAAAAAAAAAAAAAAAAAAAAAAAATACTGGGGATGAGCAGAGATTCAGCACAGAGATAAAAGTAGGCAGTAGTTACTAAAGAAACCTTGTGCTTTTGCAGCCCAGCCTATAGCACAGGTGCTGAGGAGCTCTGTGCTGTCTGGCACAGCAACATACACTTCCATAGATATAAACATCAGCTGTTCTTAAACACGACACAGAGCAAGGAGAAGTATATTTAACAGATAGAGCCAGGAAAAAAGGACTCCTACAGCCAAACTAAATGCACACATCCTAGGGATTTGCTAAAGACTCCCTCTGAACCTGGAGCAGCTATTTCTTATAGATCCTTGTCAGGCTGTTTGATAATCACAAGGATGGTGCTACATGTGTGTTGTTTAAAGGCTCCCAAATATTCAGAAAGGCCCTGTATACATCCTGAAGAAAAGGGCTTTGATTTGTAATGGCTGGGGAATACTGAGCTGTTTAATTTCCTTTTCAATTTTTTCCTCACTCATTTTCATTCTGAATTTTTTGGGGAAAAGGCCTACTGTTGTTGGCAGTGCTTCCCTGTTATCAACACAAGACTAATTTAATGAAATAGGTATTTTTCTGAAGGAGTCAGTTCTTGGGGCTCCCAAGCCTTGATAGGTTCACATTACTCCCTTTGGGGAAGAGGGCACCTTACCTTGTTCATAAATGAGATCCCAGTTCAGACACTGTCTTTAAAGTAATGAAATTCTCATTCACTAGCTACACAAAGCATAGGGTGCGCACCTATGCAACACATACACAAAACCTCTGCTCATATACCATGAGCAGAAAGTTTGCATTCCAGCTGAAGATACAGACACTCTACCACGAACAGCCACAGACAGGCATTAGATGTTCTAGCAGTAGTAAGTTCAGCAAAACACCCACAGTCAGGGTCCTCATAACAACATAGCTCTGTTGTATCCTCAAAAGAGGAACTGTAGATAAACTCCTGCTTGTAATCTGCAGGCAGTCTTTAGCCCACATTCTCCTAAATTCCTGCAGATGCAATTCTGAAACTGGGTAACCAGGAGGTATTTCACAGCTGCTTATTTTTCAAAACCTAAGCCTCAGGATGGCTTCATCACATGCCTGATCTTTTTTTGTTTAGAAGCACCAGGTAGGACACACTGTATTTTTCCAGCAGACTTCCTAAACAATTTCACAACCCTTTTTCCTGGAGACCAGTGTTGAGCTGCCTGACTGGGGAACGCCCACGAACAGCAATGTAGATGTACCCCAACAGGCATCAGTGTTTTGGCCAGGAAGCCTGACCCCAGAGAGCTTCACAAAGGCAGAATTACTCACAAGAGAACAATTTTATCCAGCAGATCTAGACACTGTGGGGACATAAATGAACTTAAGGCATCTTTCTGCTGTGTGCTGGTAGTACCTAGGATTTGGATTCCTAGTAATTGTGGATAATAAACAAGCAACAAAATCACTGTGTGAATTGCATTAGCTCTGAGAAATTTTCAGGGAGCAGACATAACCTTTGGCAGTCAGAGCAGCAGTGCCTCATGGCAGGGATTTCTTAGCCAGGAGACAAGGCAAGGCTGGTCCACCAGTCCCCGTACCCACATCATTCCAGCTACGGACAGACTGGGAGGTAGAAAAAGCCATGGTCATGCTGGTAAGAGCTGCAGTTTCCCATCCTGTACTCAGAACATAAAGAGCCTGCACAGTAAAAGAGGCTGCTCAGGGATTTTTCCTGGCCACCCCTTTCTGGTCCCAGTGAGGGAGTATCTGGTACACACCATACCTGATATCCATGGGTATTAGAGATTGTGATAGCACTATGAATAATGCTTATAGTCAAGCTTATAGTCAAGCCAGAAGGTGAAATATTGTGTGAGTAGTCAATACACATTTTTTGATTAACCCATACTATATGGCTAATTGATCCCAAGTACCACAGGACATATCAGGGTTACCTACTGTAAAATATTTCTGTGAGTTTGCCTGAAGTTGGATCCAGATTGAAAAGCTTAGGAACAGACGGTATTATTCTGTCACTTTACATCAGATGCCATCAAAGAATAAAGTGATAGCATTTTCTTACCTCCCCCAGGAGCTGAACTTTGACTCATATTTTGTAACCTTGCAGGTCCAGTCATACAAGCAGAACTTGAGTGTTGCTTCATGGTGCATTCTTGCATGGATGTTAAGCACCTTTCCCGTTGCAGAAGGCCAAGAAGAGAACTGTATTTCCTGTCAGAGATCAGCTCATCAGCTGCATGCAGGTCAGGAAGGGTGTGAGGATACACTGAACTGGTTACACTGGGAGTCCCAATTGGAAGGAAGGGCCATAAATCTGCAGGTTGAGCTGGACAACTACACAGAGATGATGGCTGGCACTGGCCTACCACACCAGCAGCAGAACAATTCAGAGCAGAATTTGCCATGTTTGTTGAAGAAGATGATGGATATGATTTGCAGCAATATGAAGAGAAATTCCACTGATGGGGAAACATGCTGTCTACTTAAAAAGAGAAAAAAAAGCATCTGAAGTCTCGTCAATTCTTACTTTTTTTCCCAAGGCAAATTCCAGTGGATTTCCAAGGGAATGCTACCAGATTGCATATTAATTTTTACATAAATATATAATCACTTTAGTGCTGCTTATCTTAAAAATCAACACAAATTCATACTAAAGGCAGATTAAACCACTACCATCAATGTTTCTACTAAGTATTAAATGTGTACTACACAACACCAATTTAGGCAGGTTTTTGACAGCTGCAAGCTTAGACAAATATATTTTTGTTAAGATGACAAGTCATAATGCACTTACTGCATCCAGTAGTAATGGGGACACTTGGCTGGAAAATGATGACCTAGTCCTGCCAACAGGCCCATGGAAAGCTTAGGAATTACTCCAGCAATCACAGGGATTTACCCAGGAAGTTCCAACTACATAACCTAGGGCTTTACAAGTATGATTTTCTTGCTTTCTGTTTGCACACAATTCAAAATTTAAGCTCAACAGATCTTAAATTCCTTAGTGAAAGCCCCCATCCAACACCAGGCTTTATAGACATCAGTCTCACCCTTGTGCTTTGTGCTCAGGTCTTGGGGGTTCTTGGCATTGCTGAGAGCTCTAGAAAAGTGTTCATCTACCATGCTGTTAATGTCCCCTTGGAAATAGGTGAACACCACGCTCTGAGATCCCCATTCTGTTTTCACAGGCTCTTTGCTTTTACTTGGCTTTGGGGAAAGCTTCCTTGCTTCTTCCATTTTTAATGGCCAACAGTCCCTGTAAAAAAAAAATCACCAAAAAAACAAACAAAAAAAAACCCAGACAGGTCAAAGGGACAGTATTCAACTTCAAGTGCCTAGTGAGTGGTGATCCCAGCTTCCTCCCAAAAATGGTAGGGGCCAGAAGAACACTTATTAGTAGGATTAGATTCTCTGGTTTTCCGCTTCTTCCATGCACCTCCTCTTTAGTGATTTCCTTATTAGCTACTACTAAAATTAAATACTTGGGCAGAATGGGCACATCTACCCATCAGCTTTCATTTCTCACCCTGACTTTGTAAGTCTGGGCTTAGGACCTAGTACTGTGCAAATGTGCCCTCTGGAAGAACTGAAACAGTTAAAAAAATAATTCAGAGGTGGCACTATCCCTGAATGAAGTTCAGGGTGAACTTATCAAAATGCTTTGTCCAATTTAGGTTTTTGTATTCAAAAAACACAAGGATGGCGTGAAAAACAAACAAACAAACAACAAAACAAGAGCAGAAAAAACCCCAAACCCCACTATACTACGTAACAGCTGAAAATAATAATTTTAGATAAGGTAAAGTCTGAAGCACCTTAATCACTGTCAGCACAGATCTCCGAAAAAAGTACTTCTAAGAGTAATGAATAGCTTCACCTGTTAGAAAAAGACATTCAGATTAAATTATTGGAAACTAAAATAATGGCAAATTGAAGTAAAAAGAAAAAAAACAACAAAACCAAAAGAAATAACCTTTTCTTGTTTGAAACAACTTACCTAGGATCATGATGGGTCTGCCAGGTGCTTAAAACATTGGAGCAAGACTGCTGAAACACACACTGTGGGTCAGCCAGAATTTACAGGTTTAAGGCAGGAACTATACTAAAATAGTTTGCAGGAAGTCAACAGAAGATTGTAAGACTCCTTTTTGTTCTCTTTAAAAATCTCTGCTGCCAGATATGGTAAGAGTAGGACAGGAATGTCACTGCTTGCCCTGGAGAAGAATAATTTTCATGCACTTGTACAGTTTCTGGCCACGAGAGAGCAAGCTCACAGACAGAGCTCACAAGTCCTGCTCTAATCAAAATTGTATTTAGCAAGGCTCAGGCTACAAACGCAGTAAAGCATCTGCTGTTTCCATTCAATTTTCCAATCTCATTGTCAGCTCATGACACTGCATAGTATAATTGATTTATCTTGGTAGCAAAAGGAAGGTTGTTATTTTTCAGAGATCAGGGCAAGGTTTAGCCAATAGCCAGTTGTAGTGCATAAAACCTCATGACCCATTAGATACCTGTTTCCATCCAACTAACCCTGCAATACACAGCACTGCTTAACCTAGTTTAACACATTTATCTGATTTCTTTCCTAGTCATACATCCCCCAATCCTCAGAAGCTTACAAATAAACATTACACTCATCTGTGTCTCAAAGGATACTCTGAAGCGCCTGTGAAGACTGCCTTCAAATAGTTTCTCAGAATTTTCTTGCACACGAAAAAAACTGCTCAGGCTGAAAATGCGAGGATTAAGGTTGTCAAGCCATAATCTATCCCCATTTTAATGCTTAAGCCTTCTCCTACAAATTTCTTTTCCACGTTTATTATTTGCTTCCATGTCTAGTTTTGCTTATTACCTCCATCTCCAACCATGTGCTCTGTTCAATTCTCCCTGACTCATGGTCACTTGCTCATCCAGCCCTTATCTCCTGTCAGCAACTGCCAACTCATGTCTAAACTCTAGAGCTCCTTAGTCTTTATTTTAAAATTTCTATTGCTTTTTCCCCATCCTCTTAGATTCAGCTAAACACAGCAGTGGGAACAGGACTGCAAGGTCACATAATCTGATTAAGAACACAGTCTTTCATAACTTTCATAACTTTCATAACGGCTTTCCCAGATATGGAAAACTTAAAGAAACACTTCCTCCCAATACACAGGCACCTTCTCAAGGCCTATGAGGGGAAGCAGGAACTAGCACAACCCAGCCACACAACTGGAAGGACTTCGGGCACAGGAGGAGACAGTTTTTTCCCAGTCTTGTTTTAGAAAGTGTCCTGCTATTTGGGTCAGGGAACTTTACAATTGCTCAGCCGGGGGCCAATACTTGCCACTGAAAATTGTCATGAGCAACTAGAATGCCTGAGAAAGGACAAGGAGTCATCTCAAGAGCAAGAAGCAAAGCAGCTTTTCCTTCTCTGCTCCAGCATTACACATCAACATACAATTTAGAATGCATTAACGCCAGCCCAGAGGGCCACTTTTCCCACTCTTGACTCAGTAAAAGCCATCATGTCTTTGTACCACTTTATTAATATGCTTAACTAGCTCCTGACATAAACAATGCTAAAGGAGCCCAGAATTTATTTGTGTGCAGCAGCTTGTGTGATTGTGACCAGTTAAAATGCTGGAAAAATAATGTATTTTAAAGTAAAATAGGTCATCTACCTCTTTCTTTCTACCATTTCCCTAAAAATCTCTTGAGCTTTCCAACAAGCAGCCAAAGGAAGGCCAGGTATAACCTCGGTTACATCTCAGTGATCATATGTGCGTAAGGATTCTAATATCCCAGGAGACAGGACCTAAATTTGGAGCACTGTAGTCTTCATTACCTGAACTTCCTATTATTCCACCATCCAGCACAAAGTCTGCAAAAGGCAGAAATCCTTCCAACTTGTGTCTGCCACAAACCATTGTCAAAACAGAGTAGAAGTGGAACTCAGGATGAAATGGACTCTGCTCATATCACACTACTCTTAGAATGCATTTAATAATGGCAAAATAGTGCAAATATTTGGCCAAGTTATTTCTTCTTCGTGCGGACAAGGACCCATGGTCAAGACAGGCATAAGAGTGGTGGCTGTTGACAGCTCACCACAAGAGCTAATACTTTACAATGTTTTTTACATTCCCCACCCTTGCCAGCAGTTTCCTGATTTCCTGCTACTGGAGCATCTGGCAGGGAACTCTTCATTCTTGATTTCATGTAGCTCAAACCAGTTTTTTTTTTTTTAAAAAAAAAATCAATCCCACTTCCCAAGTAGCAAGCCACAATTTAACAAGCAGGCATTCCCTCTCATCAAGTTATTCCTCTATGCTCCCTATAAGGAAACATTTGAGGAAGTCAGTGAATTCTCCTACCTTAACTCACTGTCAGCAGCATCACATCAGTCAAATTTTCTGGATGTGGGACACCCATTTTGTGTCCAGCAGGTTGGGATCCTTCCTGGGCCCAGCCAGCTCTGAGTGCACTGCAGCAACTGCAGCAGAAGACAAGCCACGTTCATGAACTCCCCACACTTTCTAGCCTCCAGCTGCACAGAATGAGGCGTTTCCTTCATCCTATCTGCTAAGAATGCATGAAATGCACTCCAACAAGTCAGCCAGGTTAGGAGATTTCAGGAATGAGGAAAATAGGGTTGCAAGTAGGTTTAGGTTTGTTTGGTTGGTTTTTGTTGTTTGTTTTTTTACGACCATGTGTACACAAAAAAGACAACACTGTGGACCTTGGAAAAGTTTAGAGTATTATAAGTTATGGCAGAGAACCAAACTTGCCCAGAATGATAAAGGACTTTTCCTATGCCATGTTACAGAATATTCACTCTGAAGTTGGTAACTACAAAACACCTTTGAAAAAAAGATTACCTGTTTCCAACCCAGATAAACTGGATAATCAATTTTCTCACTTTTCTTTGCTGGATCTGTTTTAATAACTATAGAGAGAAAAAAAAAATAATCTTGTTCTGTAAGGGCTGTAAGCAGGAAAGTTTGGGGTTTTTTTTGTAGCAAGTTTACCAAAATTAAAAAAATTAGTCATTCCAGAAATGCTGAAACAGGGTCAAACTTGCCAGTCTCAGCTGGAAAAAACACGCTGGGGAACTAGTCACCAAACTGGTGACATTATGTATTTTGTAGAGCTTTGGAGTTTGGTTACTCACCCAGAAAGCTGGAGAGCACAATCCAATTCCCTCTGCCTAAATACAAATTAATCCACCCACTGCCCTTCCCAGAACAACTTAACTACCAGGCTGGGAGAATTCCCATGATGGTGCTTAACCTTTTATTGACACACTGTTTGCGTAAAAGATTTTGATGGTGAGACAGACTGGATTCCATTCCACCAGCAAGGCGAGAGCCCTCAACATCTCCATCGCTCTGACTCCCTTTTCTAAACTGTCCCATATGGCAGACATTTGCTCTTCTAAAGCTTTTCAAGACCTTATTTGAGATCTTCCTCTCAGGCTGACAGTTAAAGCTCTCCTCAGGTTAAGGTGGCATCAATTTAAAACTCCTAGAAAGAACTACAGGGTAAAATGGAATTATAATCCCTATTCTTCAGTACAAGAATTGAATGATTTCCAGTGCTTTTGAAGCATTCAAAGTGTCAAAGCTTTGAGAATAAAAATTAAAATTTTACTTGTCCTTATCAAAAACATCTTCACAATCTCAATTTTAACTACAGTGTCTGCAGTAATCCTTCCTGCTCCTTTCCTTTCCATGCAGGTCCATTAACACCCCAAGCCAGGAAGAAGGCTGAGACCAAACCCTATAGGGAACAAATACTGTATCCCACTCACAGTTCAAGCACCGTGTCTACTGGGTCCAACTGAAAGTTCTGGCACATTAACACAAGTGGTTTATAAACTGAAGCCCCTGTGCACCAAACATTATGGTATCTTCTACTGAGGAAAAAAGGAATACCTTATCTTAAAACTAATCAGCAAAGACTTGCTCTGTTAATGAGTTTGTTTATTAAAAAGGTAGTATAAAACACAACCCCTTTAAGAAACAAATTGAAGACAAACAAAGGGTATTCTCAGATGCTGTCACAAATCTAGATATTATTCAAATACCATTTGCTTTGTAGTGTTGCTTTTCTAACGGATAAATTAAAATGATTATTTTATAGGAAGAAAATCACCTGTCAGAAGAAATTTGAAGTTTACTTACTGAAAAGTTTAATCTAACAATATACTTTCATATTACAGAATGAGCAAAAAGCCAGTTTGCTGAAAAAGGTTTTATAATTCTATAAATATATTACAGAACTTTCAGAGTATCCTGACAGTAAGACGTCAAGCTATAATGAGCACAACAATAGACACAAGTCAAATCAACACAAATACACAACTCACAGAATTCATTTACCACACTGCAGTATGCTTCCTCAAATGTAGAAATAAAAATAAGAATTTAAAATCCAATTAAAACTTATATGAATATATATATTTTTTTTTCCCCAAATTTGGCTCGGTTTAAGTTCAAGAATTCAGGATATGAATGTTGATGAAAGGCAAGTTTGGGTTTCTATGAAGCATCCAACACCTTCAAGTTTTCTTAAGTGAATTAAGCTAATTAAGCTAGTTATTTGTAATTGCTAATAGGTTAACCTTAACTGAATAATGTCTAGGACATGTTTTAGCTAAAATGCACTGCATTTAACATACTAAAGATTTTAAGTGAATTGCAGTCCTTATACAAAACCTAAGCTGTATGAGGGACTGAAATTCAATTAAAAAAAAAATTAAAAGCCAGCAGGAGAAACAGATAAACATTTTGATGCAAAATGAAACTAATTCTCTCTTTACACCTGTATACGAACATTCGAGAACCTGTGAAAAAAGAGAAAACCTCCTGAAAAGCTTTTTATTTTGAAGGTTTCTGTTTCCAGGTGTCTACCT